CCTCGTGCGCCTGTACTCCACCAGCGTTGAATTCAGCACTTCTCCGCCTTAGCACGTAATATACTATTTTGTAGATTTTTCTTAGCCGATGGCTATTTTCATGAGAAGAGAGCGATCGAGTGAGATCCAAGACAGAGATTTTGAGTACAAAAACGTACTTTTGTTGCGTAATTTTCGTAAAAACTTGTTTATGATAATTGGGTGGTATCCAGGAGGTAACATGTCCTTTACAGGGCACCAATTGTAAGAGGGAAGTACTTTTACGAGTCAGAAGATTATGTAGAATATTTCCATACCATTATTATTCATTTATATCCATTTATTTATATTTTATGGGCTTTTGTACTTTTCACGTACAAAATCAACAAAACCACGGGAATCTGCAATACCGATAGGGGGGACCCCTGACATCTACGTGCGACCGGTTCCGTTACCCCTTAAGGTGAAACAGAACCCCTGTGACTATATGAACTTAGGATTGTGCTGTCTTCTGCAATTATTATTTTTTATTTATGAAACGATTTCATTGACTCAATAGTGCAATGATAATCGATAAAGTAGTTTCATAGATAAAAATTAATAATTGTAGGAGCAAACAAAATTCTAAAAGTTCATTGAAACACAGGGGTTCCGTTTCCCCTTAAAGAATCTACCCCGGCTGAGATTCGAACCACGACCGCCTGTATAGTCGGCAAGCCGAACCATGCGATTAAATGAACCCGACCACCGGACGTCGATCCTAATAAATTAGATCGAATGATTTCGAGTCAAAATCTTTGCTTGTCGAGGAGTCTTTGAAATATATTATTCAAAAGAAACAATCAAAATTGACAACAATTTTGCGGCCAGATACTTGCCTACGATGTTTGGTGCAACAGCCCATATCTACTATTGATACGGTAATCACCCTAAGAAAAAGGTCTTCCGAAAAAGACAGCATTGAACATTATCAGTTAATGTGAAAATTTTTGAAGATTGGACTAATATGTTATTTCTTAGTGAATGAAGTTGACGAATGTACGAATGAAAATTGTGAGAACCATAGGAACTGAATATTTTCCTAGCAAATGAGTTGATACATAAGCTGTACTCAATTGTGTAAATAAGGTGGGGCTCATTGGTAAAGTTTAATTTTCTACGATGCCAGCATGGAATTAGAAAAGAAACTATGAATAATGGAATTCAATCGAGGACTATCGAATTGATAACAGATGATCGTCACAACCTGTTATACAGAATTTCAAGAGCTACAAAGAATGCTTTCGATAAAGTGTCTTGAACCAAGAATCTTGGGTCATGATATTCACAAAATAATCTGTTCGTGATTGTTTCACTTATCGTCGTTTCCGCTCCACTGCAAATTTAATTAATGGATAAATTGAGAGCGTAATTGATGATGCACGATCTTATCTGCTACAGCCACCGCAGTTGATTTGTGCCGAGGGCCCATTTCGTACGTTCATTGAGGAGAATGTGGCAATCATCCGGAGCAAATTCTGGCCGACGTTCTGGTGCTACGAGGCGAGAGCACAAACAGTTTTGGCGAGTATCTTACGGAAATTGCTTTTACCGCACATCAAATACCGGAGGTGAATTTATTTTTCATGTATGAACCTCATAGTAATACACACGGAAAATCTCATAATGTTCAGATGCCAAAGGGGCGTGAGAGGTGTGGATAACCACAGCTTTTACACCCCTTTGTAAAACTATGAGTGCAAGTCATCGAAATGGTCTTTTTCGTGAGAAGACCCGGTAAACCGCGATTCTAACCTCGCTTCGCTCGAAACTTTGGACCTTCTGACGAAAAATTGCATTCATCACACGGTCCAAAAGTATTTTCTGACGAATGTGATTATAGACAAAACCACATTCGTCAGAAAATTCTTTGTGGACCTTGTAATGAAAATAACTATTTCATAACGCTGTCCGTTAAACGTCGTTTACGGACATTGTAAATAGTATATTTCCTCATCAGGCCGAAAATTAATATACACACCTCGCCATGGAAAACATATCACCCTCACCCACGTGCTTGCCATCCTCGCCTTCGGCTCGGAAGGCAATCTTGCACGTGGGGGACGGTGATCTGTTTTCCAAGGCTCGGGCATGTAATGTACTATTTACGAATATTTCATATGACGAACCAATTATGTCCGTCACTCGGTCGAAAACAACTTTTCAGACTCGTGTCCCATACGGCAAAATATATATTCTGAAAATTATATATTTTATATGCAGAATTGGCCTTATTTATATATAAAAGTTACATAAGATATAAATTTATATATGTTTCACATATATTTTATATTAATCTTATATATATTCGAAGAATATATTAAATTGGCCTATATTATATATGTATTTTCGTCGAACGTTACGCGTTCGCAAATCGCTGCTTACAGCCGTTATGACAAGAAATATCATTCGACATACGGCATAAAAAAACTTTTCTGGCGAATATGAGTTTGCACGAAACATACTATTTCGGCCTTGTGACGAAATAGTATATTTCGCCTTCGGCTCGTGCTATAAACCTCCCACGAACCAAAAAATACTTTTCCCACGAGTATCGAATGATATTTTTCATCACAATGTGTGGAAAAGGGACGTTTTTAGGTGAAGCGTGCCTAAAAATTACTTTTGCGCACAGCGTGATGAAAATAGCTATTTGTGTACTGCTTCTCATGATTCCTCGTCTGGGAATTGGTGTTACATACTTCCCTAATTCGGAAATTTGAAAATCACTACAAAAAAATCCTGTTCCGAGGCTGTTCCGATAGGATTTTTTTACTCGTGCGGTTGGCCACTCCTCGCCTTCGGTTCGAACGCCAACTTCACACGAGTAAAAAATCCCATCGGTACAACCCGGAAAAATACGCATACCTATATAACAAGTCGGTAAATAACATTTTTGGCGAGTATGAGGTTTAAAACTCGAGCCAAAGACGAGGGTTGTAATCCGTCAAAAACGTCATTTATCACTAGTTATATAAAAAATTGTATTACACCCTTTTCGCCAAAATTCACGTTTTTTGAATTTTTTCTGGCAAATTGTTGATCGGATTGACGTGAAAAAATATACCGTTTTTGCGTTTTATTATTACTTAATGACTTAAGAAATTTCATGATCGTGCAATCATTTTCCTGCGTTTTTTCTAAAACTTTTCGGAAATTCCCAAAACTTTAGAAAAAATGCAGGAAAATGATTGCACTACCATGAAACTTCGTGAGTCAGTCAATAATGATAAAACGCTAAAACGGTATATTATTTCGCGTCAATCCGATCAATAATTCGCCAGAAAAATGAAAAAAACGTGAATTTTGGCCGAAAGGGTGTAGTACATCCTTAACCGTCTAAGGCGAATTTCTATGTCCCCATTCATCAAAGCGGAATTCCGGCATCCCCACTCGAGTATCCTGCTATGCCTTGCGAGATTTTGTGCCTCGAGTATAGGGCAGCACCAGAATTTTTCTCAGAATTTCACTACAAAAATTCTAATATGTTTCTCTGCATGAAAAAATATTTTGAAACAAATTTTGCTTGAATAAAAAAACGACGCAAGTTGAAAATTAGCAAAATATAAATTGTTTCTTTCAAACATACGAAAATTTCAAACATGGATAATCGCTCCGCTTTCTACAACGAAATATTTGCGTCAAGATGTGGATAATTCACGTGAGATGGGACCTTTTCAGGACGAAAATATCTTTCGCAAATCGACGTTTATCAATAAATATTTTATTCCTAAGTCACAAGATTGCGAACGTATCACTATTTTTCTATTTAAGAATTCGTTTCTATATTGATCAGCCGCAATGAAAAACTACTTTCCCTTGTTTTGCAAAATGAACATTTTCGGGAGCAAAGCACATATAGTGGCGACGGGCTGGTCACTTAGGAAATCACTGGAGCATTCGATTGGAAATCAAGGAAGAAATCACCAGATATCAGTGGAAATCAAGTGATTTACATTTCCCGTCGGGAGTTCTAAGGACTTCTGGAAGTCGTCAGAAATCAGTGGTAATCATAAAGAAATCAGGTGATTTCCGAAATAATTAGAAATCATCGATGAATGTGAAACCCAAAATTTTTATTCGAGTTCACTCATACGTTCCCGTCTGACCTTCATGACATTTTTATGTACATGTCATTTGATTCTTACTATCACGTCCATAAGGCCTTTCTAAACTCTTTTGTTTCTTGAAATCGAGAAATCATCAAAATCTACTAGAAATCATGGGAATCACGAGAAATTAAAAGAAATCATCATTTTCAATTCTTATTGAGAAATCACAGAAATCATTCAAGGAATCGCAGGAAATCATCCAATTCTGAAAATCATTGAGCCACCCGATTGAGGAGTAACCAACCCCTTGGGTGTAGAATAACAAATATGTAGTGCTCGAAATAATATTTCTTGCTAACACAGAAGAATTTATCTAATTTGAGTTTTTTTAAACAACTCAATTTACTTTTACGACAAAAACTGTCCATGTCAAGACACTTTTTAAATCATTGAGTGCGAGATTTTTATTCTTGGCTATTTTCAACTTGCAATTTGTTGGGTTCAAACAAAACTTATTTAAGAACATTTTTTTTCCTCTCAGTGAATCGGGTGCGGCTAGCCGACATTATTCCTTATAGTTTTAATGTTCTCCAACTTTATTATGAATTCTATTTTTTTTTTAATTTTTAAAGGAATTTGTTGCGAGCAAGCTCGCAACAGGCCATTGCCCGACGGCCTTCAGCCAGTGAATACATTTTTCATATAATTTCTTTTTCAAACTGCATATATAATATTAATTGAGTACGTTGATATGAGTGTTTTGTTTTGAACAGTAGATAATGATTGATACAGGGTTTGTGAGTGAGGCGGAAATGGTATACATTGTAAGAGATACGGTGATGAAGAGGCGAAGGAAATAGAGGACTTTTGCTACTGGTCTTGACCTTGGAGATGTGCTAGACCTCCCCAGGAGTTCGAGCCATACTCTTCTCTTCTGGCGGCCTGTAGGTCCTCAAACAGGGTTTGTGGGGGATATTTATACCGGGATCTTCTATTGGGGTTGCGCTTGTGGCAAAGGTCAACAATATGGTCCAGTTTATTAAGGGCAAAATTCGTTGTCAGTTTTTTGAGTCTGTCAAGGATAGGTTCTATTCTGGTACGTTCGTAAAGTAGGGTGTTGGAAGGGTTGTGGAGGGGATTGTCTGGGTGGCGGATCTTCGTCATTTTACGAAGGGTGGTTCTTTCGGCAACGCCGACTATCTTTTGGGTTCCAGGTCTAGCAGAGAGGAGTAGAGGGTGGGCATAGTCCAGTATTGGACGACATTGCTTTGTATATTTTAACGACATGTTGGGTGTTGAGACCTTTATGTTTGTATGTGAGTCGACGGAATTTCATACTCCTTGCTATGCACTTTTTTTTAATGATATTGGCGTGGGACTTGAAGTTGAGGTTGTAGTCCACCTCTACCCCGAGGTATCGGGTATGGGCGCAGGGTAGGATCTGTGTTTTGGAGGGTTATACTGGAGTTGGATTTTCGCAGGTTAATGTAGAACTGTAGATATTGGGATTTGGAGGGGTTGAGTTTGAGTCGCCATTTTTCAAACCAGACCTGAATCTCGTCAGCAAGCTTTTGGAGGTTCTCGGTCGCTGCGTCCCACGTTTTGCCATGATCCACTAGCGCCGTGTCATCAGCGAACTGGACAAGGTATTTGTTGGGGTTTGGAACTAAGAAGGGGTTATCGAGGATGTCGTGGCAGAAGATGTTATATAAGAGAGGCGAGAGGGGAGAATCTTGAGGGACCCCTTGTTGGGGGCGAAGTCCTGAGAGTGGCTGTTCTTGACTTTAATGGACAGTCTTCTATTGAAAAGGAACTGTTTGACGATTTTAATCAGGTATATGGGACAGTTTAATTTGTTGAGCTTGAAGAGCAGTCCTTTATGCCAGACACTGTCAAAGGCCTTTTGGACATCTAGGAATAGTGTATTGGTTTTGAGGTTGTTGTGCTTGGCAGTATGTATGTTGGAGGTGAGGATGGTGAAGGGGTGAAGGGTAGATTTTTTTTCTCTGAACCCGAATTGATAAATGGGGATGTCATTTTTGTTGCTGTGTTGAGGTGTTCTTTAATTATTTTTTCAAACATTTTACCTATGGATGGGAGGAGGGTGATGGGCCTGTAACTGTCAATTTGGTGAACATCCTTATTGACTTTAGGAAGGACAATGATGATACCTTTTTTCCATTCGGGGGGGAAATGAGAATTTTGGATGCAGAAATTGAATATTTTACGGGTGTGGAGGTGGATTGAACTTGAGAGGTTTTTCAGAGTAGCACGGCGTATGCTATCATGACCTGGGGCCGTGTTTTTGCCATTCATGAGAGCTCTTTTATATTCGCCAGGTGAGATGGGGGGAATATCGTCGGGGGGAGGTCGAGGGGAGAGTCTGAGGGGTAATTGAAGTCGAAAAACCAGTCGTTTACATTGTCATGGGTAAGTTCGTCAAATGTGTCTGATTCGGTGTATTTGTATGTGTCTTCAAAGTACGTAGCAAAGGCATTTGCCTTGTCAACGTCTGAGGTGAGGGATTGTTTATTGAATGTAATTTCTGGGATAGTCATTTCAGGTCTGTATCTGATGAGTTTCTTAATAATGGACCAATATTCCTTACCCCGCTTGCGCTGTATTTCCCTACCAGCCTTCAGCCATTGATGAGATCTGAACTCCTGGGAGAGTTTGTATATATTTTTGTTGAGAGCATTAATTTCGGCTTTCCTAAACTGGTTGGTTGCCGGCGAGTTGAGATGTTTGATATACTCTGTATTTCCTTCTTTTGGTTTTGATAAGATGGATGATGAACGGAGGCAGTGTGTAGTTGAAGTAGTTGTACTTGGACGTCGGTGTATGTTTTAGAATTGTTTCCGAGAGAAAAGCGTTGAAAGCAGTTATGTTTTCGGCGTTGATATCGGTATGGTCCTGGATGAACTCTGCTATTTCATTGTTGACCTTATCCATATCCGTTTTGGCGAAGTTGTAAGTTGGAGGGTGAAGCTCGATGGGTGGAATGTTCGGGTCTGTTGCAATTGAAAGTTTAATTGCCAGATGATCTGCACCCAGGTTTGGGACCAGTTCCACACTGTGTACTCTGTTGAATATGTTTTTGGTACAGAAGACTAAGTCAGGAGTGGTGTCTTTGTTGAGCGGCATGATGAAGGTCGGGTCTGTGTAGATTCGTGTGAATTTTCCGGTGGAGAGAAAGTCCTGGATTTGACTATTCTTCTGCTTATCTGGGTTGAAGTCTCCTATGATCAGGGCGTATTTGCAACGCGTTGCCATGATAAACAGTGAGTTCTCGAGTTTCGTAGTGTGATGTGAGTATATCGCAAAGATGTGAAGCGGGTCCTCTCTGAATGCTATTGAGAAATGGAGTATTTCATTCAGGGGTTGGGTGATGGCAGGTGCATTTTGTTTTTTTGGATGTAGATGTGGGTTTATTTGAACTAGCGTTCCACCCCTAGTTTTACCGTTGATGGAGTTACCTATTTTACCCATGGAGAACCAATCTCTGTACTTGATGTTGGTGTTCATGTTGATTTTGGCTTCGACGAACAGGCCACAATCGATATTGTTGGACTCGACGTAGTTATTAATGAGCATCTTTTTGTTCCTGTAACTGTTTATGTTGGAGTACAGGAAATTAATGTCCGCCATTTTCAATTAAAATACTTCTGCCTGTGGAGGGTTCGGTGGGAGAGGGATCGTCGGGGGCGTCCAGGTTGAACATCAGGATATATATTTTGTTGCCAGTGAACACTGCAACTGTGTCGATCCTGAATGTGTCGATGAAACGCTTCTTGAGCTTACATAATGAGTTCTTCTCTGTTGGTGTTTTTGGGGTTGTTGATTTTGGAGATATAGGTGTTGATGATAAATTATGAATTCTATTTCCCAATGAAAAAGTCCTAGTTCATCTTGAATAATTGACAGAGTAAAACCATTAAATGTTTTAATACCTCACCGTAAATTTTGTTAGTACCAAAGTTTTAATAGTTTTTCTTCAATTTTCATGTTTGGCGAAAGCATAAAAATTATTTCGAATGAAAACATTCACAAATATCTTGAACTTGCAGAGGTCTGAGAAAACCAAATTTGGAAACTATTTTGAAATAGTTTAAAAGTACCTTAAAAGTTTCTTGTAGAATTCTTTTTTTTTATCGTTATTTTATATTGCTTCGACCCGGTTAGGGTATGTTGCGATGATGATCAAGAGTTTAGACGGTTAGATCTCACCATTCCACCCGGCCGGGTTTTGAACTCGGAACCTTTCGCATGTGAGGCAACGAACTTACCCGCTGCACCAAGCCACCGGCTTGTAGAAAATGTTGTCTGACAAACATTCTTAAACCTCTTCATTCCAAGGATATTCATCAGACAACACTCCATAACTTTAATCATTCTATCAGGAATATATTGACTCCTTTGCAGGGAAATACTGACATTGAAAGACGGAGGAGAGGTTGCACTGGATTGGGCAGATCAGGGTTGCTCTCCCACATCACCGATTGTCATTATCCTGCCTGGATTGACAGGATCGAGCCAGACTGAGTACATAAGGTGTCTTATCACAGCGGCCAAGAACGTCGGAATCAGATGTGTTGTTTCTAATAATCGGGGACTGGGTGGGGTTCCGCTCAAGGTGAGATGGCTATCAAAAATATTTATAAAATTGTGAAAATGCACTCTAAAAATGACTGATACGATAGCTGTTTCGTTTACAAGTAAACGAAAAAACTTTTTTCTCAGTGACCTTCACTTTTCCCAGTCCGGAGATTGGTATTGGCCCTTAATTAAACCTCAAACTCGTCGAAAACCCTAGTGGCAGTCGACGCGAAGTATTCGTTTAGTCGTAAATGAAAAGTAAACGAAAATGCACTTTATGCCACGCTGTGCGATAAGTCAAGATTAAAGCACGCTGCGCTTCGGGCAGCCTGCTCGGAACTCGACTACCGCACGAGGTGGCACATAACAGTATAGAGCACTCGGCGATAAATTCCATTTTCAACAAATGTGAGTACAGACCTCGTCTTCGGCTGGGCCTGTAAACTTCACATCCGTCGAAAACGGAATTTCACCACTTGTATTCTAATATACTTTTTCGGCACGAGCTAAACGTAGCAGCACACGCACGAAAAAAATTAATAGAAAAACCTATCGAATTCGTTAGAAAATTCTATTGAATTTCTATTCAACTTTCTATTAATTTTTGGCTGATTCTATTGACATGTTGAATAGAAAACATTTAATAGAAAAAGTCAACAGAATTCGATTTTTCTATATAACTTATTCTTTTTATATATTTTCTATAGAATTTGCTCGACTCAAATTTTCTAAGTTTCTTTCATTCTATTTTTCTTTTCTTCTCATCAAAAAAATCAAATGAAAAAACTTGAATAATTTGAGCCGACGAAATTCTATAGAAAATATCTCAATAGAATAAGTTATATAGAAAAATTGAATTCTGTTGACTTTTTCTACTGAATATTTTCTATTGAACATTTCAACAGAATCGGTCAAACACTAATAGAACAGTTCAATAGGAATTCAATAGAATTTTCAAACGAATTCGATAGGTTTTTCTATTAAATTTTTTGGTCCGTGCACTGTCAAAATAGTATATTTCGTTACGAGTGCGGAAAAGAGTTTTTTGGCTCGTGGGATGTTTATAGCATGAGCCGAAGGCGATTCAATCACAATGTGTGGAAAAGGGACGTCTTAGGCACGCGAAGGGTGCCTAAAAAGTTACTTTTTCGCACAGCGTGATGAAAAATTATGTTCGTCACTCGTGTGATTGCATTCCTCGGCTTCGTCTCGGTATGCAACCCTCACACTCATCAGAAAAGTTTTTTTTCGGCCTTGTGACGAAAATAGCTATTTTGTCATAACGGCTGTAGACGGCGATTTATCGACGCGTAGCATCCGTAAAGCACTGCCTTACGACCGAAATGACAAAAATTCACTTTTTTAATCGAGAAGTAAGTCTTGATTAGGGTAACTGAGAGTTAGGTTTTCATTCACGCTTGTGGATTTTCCCATCAACCGCGGTCACCCTAATCGAGACTCTCATTACTGGACCTAACCACAAGTTATGCCTGGCCTGAAGATTAGTCATGTTCAGGCAATGGCGATTAATTTCGATATAAAACAACTTCATGCCGTGTATATCTCCTTTCATAGGTAGAAATTTTGCAAGATTTATGTTGTTATTTCGGCGAATAAAGAATACGAAACCCGGCTGAGAACTAGCCCCGGCAACTAGCTGTTGGTGATTAAAGAAATTTTCCTCTACTTTCGTATTCATTGTTTTTTTTTATTCAAAAATATCTTCGAGTAGGAAAATTGTCTCGTAGGCGTCCCTTTGAAAATGATTTAATATTTTAATTATCTCATTCCCTCACTTAACTAGCTAATTTAACTATTTTAATTTTTTTATTTAAAAAAATCACAGACTCCAAGGCTGTACTGTGCTGCTAATTATGATGATTTCACCGAAGTTGTGGACCATATCAAGAAAACCAATCCAGGTATTCCTCTCGGAGCCACTGGAGTATCAATGGGCGGGTAATAAACTAATATTTACTCTGGCATGATTCATGAGTATTTCATTACGATAAAATGTTATCTGAGTAAGAAAAACCATTGATATATCTTCACAAACACATCTTCAGTCACTCAATTTTTTATATTAATCGCAATTAGGGATGGACGAGATTCTTCCAGACATGGGAAATGTCAATATGCTTGCAGAAGACTCGTGTAGAAAATCAAACTCCATGAGTTATTTGTAAACGATTTTGGTTTTTTTATACAATGGAATTACTAAAGAATTTTCTCGGTATAAATTCTTAGTTTTTTCCACTACAAGATGAACGCACTTATGTTTGAACTCGCCTAGTGATCGAACTCATTGACAAATTTATCGTTGACCAAATGTTTAATGTAGTAGAATGGAACTTTTGTCCTTTTCCAAAACCAATTTCATGTTCATAATTCAATGTGATCTTGGGACACTTTCCCATATATAAGTTTTACTGAATCTTGTTCACTCTTGTTCGTTTCAGTAGCGAAGTGGTAAAAGAAGATAAGTCAATTTTGACTATTGACCAATTTTCAATAAACATCTCAGAATCTAAGAGAGATAGCAAAATTTTTGTTATAACCTTTTTGTGGAGCCAATTGAGTGCTACAACAAATGTATGTTTAAAACACAGCAATAGTTTCTCCAATTCAACGAACAGTGTACCCTTATAAAATTTCTAGACGCGTGGTTTACACCACAAATAAAGTACATCACTAGTGGGTTTTTAGTAAATCGCGTGTTGTTAATTTTCACACCTTTTCCAAATCACTTTTCCCCAACCCGCCTAAATTTTTAGCATCAATCTCAAACATGTAATTACGAAAATTTCGCTATACCCCTTAGATTCGGAAATATTCCTCAAAAACTCAACTGGGAGATAAGTCGACTTATCTCCGTTTACCACTTCACTACTGGTTTTGAACTAGAAAAACCACTGAGACGATTGTGTTCACAATTTCATCGATTCTTAGTTACATTTAGGGATCCAGAAAAATGATATGACATCCCGTCATGTGACAGGTCAGTGCCCGTCATGAGACAGACTGGAATATGACAATTTCTTGTCATATAACATTATGACCAATTTAGTATCTGACCGTCACTTTCCATCTAACTAGTAGTCATATGAATTGAAATTCAGAAATAGCCCCGTGATTGCATGATACATACAGGGGTCCCATCTGAAAAGATACGGCTAAATATCTCTCAAGGGGGGCGGGTAACAAAAAAATGTTCGATACAAAAATTGTAGGGTTTCGAGGGGGACATCCGATATTGTCATTATTTTGAGCTTTCAAGCTCACGCTTGCAACCTGCAAGCACAAAGTGCTTTTTTTTCAAATGGCAACCGCATTTTTTACCCCAATGAAACTTGTTCATCTTGATAAGTTGTTTTCAGAAACCTCGTCATTCATTTAATTTCATTTCATTTTACTCGAGAAATGCCATAAAAAGAGTTTCCAGGTAATTTTATCCGTTGACAGCATCATTGAAGAAATATAGGCCTATCATTTGCCTATCAACCACACCGCACCACACGTTTACTTTCTAACGCTGTTGATGATCAATGTGTTGCGTCCAGTGAGGATTTTCCCTTGACCAATAATGACAATTGTGTCGATTTAACGATCCAGTACTCTGGAACGTTGCCTCGCTGCTGAATAGAACGTACTGTAAAAAAGGTGGATCTTCATTCAGTCTCTGCAAGGCCCAGTTACAAAAATCAACACGGTTTTGCCTGTCTTGCGCAGACAATGCAGTCAAAGTTATGTGATACGGGTGGTAGCGGCCAGATCGCAAAATTCTTTGTGCTGTGCTCCGTGGTACTCCTAAATCCCGTTCAATTTCTCTTAAACTGACGTGAGGATTCATGTGAATCAAAGCTAATATTGCAACAGCTCAGAGATCATCAGGATTAATACCTTGTTGTACTTGTTGTCGTCCTCGAAGGATTTTCCCTCTTCTACAACTCCTTTCGATCCTCCGGATAACTAAATCTGTAGGATAATGTAGTCGATTGCAGTACCGTTCTCGATCTGTTCGAGCAGCGGCTCGATACACTCCCCTACACTCTCCCAAAATAAGTAAAATATCGACAATTTCATTGGCTGAATACATCGTGATGTGGTCAATAAAATAACAAGTGATACTAACTTGATTCGGGTTGAATTGGCACCGATTAGAATAAAAGAATCCTCGGAGGAGTGGGGAAATGTTTTGTTTATTGTTTACATTTGATAATTCCGGTGTGTAAACAGATCAATGGAACAATTACACCAAGATGCGCTAAGGATGTTTGAATCTTGAATTCGACCACAGAACTTGTTTTTGTGGCATTTTTCGAGTAAAATGAGATGAAATTAAATGAATGATGAGGTTTCTGAAAAACTCATCAAGATGAACAAGTTTTGATTGAGGTAAAAAATGCAGTTGCCATTTGAAAAAAAAAGCACTTTGTGCTTGCAGCTTGCAAGCGTGAGCTTGAAAGCTCAAAATAATGACAACACCGGATGTTCCCCTCGAAAGCCTACAATTTTTGTATCAAACATTTTTTTGTTACCCACCCCTTTCAGAGATATTTAGCCGCATCTTTTCAGATGGGACACCCTGTATATGCATACGAGAATGTATTCACATCGAAATAAGTAATTGAAAATACTAATCATTACTAAATTGACAAAAAAATCACCGAAAAATTCATGACTGTCATGACTGTTTACATCTAGCTAGTTGGTTCAGGGTGGCAGGGGAAAGTATGACCGAAATTATTTCTCAATTCTTCTTCAGACATATTCTCTGTCATATATAGCCTCTTCTATGGGGCATAACTTCATCGGGGAAGCCCCGGCTCTTCTCTTTACTTCGATCTTGATATGCTTCTTCGTGAAATAAAAGTACCATGAAAATCACGTAAAAGAGGATACTCGTTTAAGGGGATACTCGTCGGTGAAATTTAAGTCTTCACTAGACCTTTGGACCCATTGAACAGTTTATGACATATGACTGAATATGGGAATGACTAGGGATAATAGTGGACCCGATCGATTTTGCCCCGTATAACCACGAAAAACTTTTTTTCTGTTTTTACCTTCAAAATGTTCCTTGCGTCGTAGTTAGAAAAACTTTTCCATTACCGTATAACTTTCGGTTTCTTACGGATTTTCATTTTTCCAGCAGTATATCAATTCCTAATGCTTCTTCCAGGTTTCGAAAAAGAGGTGTTCCCTCACGGCCACCCAATCCTTCTAGTGACCATGCTCAGCGCTGCTTAGCTTCCCAAAGCTAAGCCGGCCCACTACGTAGTTTTCATACGATTTTAGCTTTTTTTTTAATACTCGCTACGCTCCAAAGAATAAAGTTAAGCATCCGTTTTACTTTATTCGCAATAGATCATGAATAAATGAATTTTGAATTTCATAAATTTTTCGTGCCTCTAGAGTAGAGTAAAATTTATGAAATTCAAAATTCATTTATTCATTTATTCATTCAGCCGTATGGCTTCTGATGTCAAACTGCTTAAAATAGTTCGATGATTGAAAACTAGATTTTTTTTCCAAGTATTACATTAAAGAAGCGAATTTATATAGCGTTCCACATTTTTGTAACGTCATAGGAAATGATTGGATGGGATTTGGATGAGGTAGGACGGGAACCGGGATTATTCTCAATATGAATAACCAGAAAATTTTTACTAAAAAAATTATAGTCCAAACCGGAGTTTGAGTTCGGGACCTTCGAATTATGCATCGAGTGCTTTTTTCACCTACCTACAATTATTTCACTGGTTGGAATCCCATTTTTTGTTCCAGATTAATTCTAGGGAATTATCTGGCTCAACACGGTGCAGCTGCAAGGAAAAAAGTGAAGGCAGCATTTATCGTTTCCGTACCATGGAATATAGTAGAAGCAGTTAAGAGCTTCGAGAAACCATATCTCAATTTAATGTTGAATAGATATCTTGCTGAAAATCTGTGCCGAAATATCAGACGAATGGAGTCTTCCAGCAATGTAATGTTCTCAGATATCAACGTCGAGACAGTGTTGAAGGTAAAAATGAAAAGAAAAGTCGGAAATTGAAAGTATTGAAAGTTTTTTTTGGTTTTTCAGAGTAGAACTATTAAAGAATTTGATTCACATTTCACTGCAAAACACTTTGGTTACAAGGATGTAGACGATTATTACGAGAATGCATCACTCCATAAGAAATTACACCTCATTGAAGTTCCCGTTTTGTGTCTGAGTGCCGCAGATGACCCGATGCAACCACTTGAAGGTGAATATGAGATATTCCGCGACAACTCAAGTTAGTTTTCTTTTACTGCGACTACACGTATGAAAAAATCGTATAGAAATTTTCTACACGGATTGCGTATAGAAATTCTATAGGATTTCCGTATATAATATTCGGAAATTTTTATACGAATTATTTCTATACATAAATTTTTGTTTTCGTACGAAAGATGTCTAAACGCTCCAGAGAAAAACGTAGAGAAATGTCGCAACTCCATACGAAATGTTTCTATACATGTGGCAGTGGGTCGTATAGGATCAAACCTATAGAAATCGTATAGAAATAATTTGCATAAAAAATGTCCGTATAGAAATATCCGCATATTATATACGAAAATCCTATCGAAATTCTATACGATTTTTTCATACGTGTATACCCACTACAGAAACTACATATTCGCTTCCAAGTTCTTCATTCTGGGTGTATTACCTCTCCGGGAAAATGATGAAAAATTGCGATAAATATGTGACGTTTGAGGGTTCGTACGGGTTACTCAGACAACCCAAAACACTTATGATGAACCCTTGGATCGCTAAGTTGACCCTTCTGCTTTGGCTACTCTAGCGGCTACAGCCTATTAGAAAAAAATGAAATTTCATGGACAGTTGACTATCAATTTTGAGGACAGTGACATTGAATGTGATTTAGGGGAAAAAGTCATGAAATTTCAAGTTTCACTGAAAATTTAGTAAAATTCCAGAATTTTGGGTAGCATAAAGAAGAGAATTCCTTAATTTATTCAAATTTCTAATACAATATGAATATTCAGTGTCAAATTGCATTGAATTTCATGATTTTTCCCCCTAAATCGCATTCAGTATCACTGTCCTGAAAATTCACGAATATATTTACCAGAATTTTCTGGTTTTCTATGCATTTTCAGGGAGACTGGAACGGAAATTTACAGTTCTGTTTGATGTTTCCACGAAATTCTGAATTTTCAATGACAAGATTTCCTGAAATTTCAGTGGAACTTGAACACGATAAAAATTTTCAGAATTTGGCACGGAAAATTCAGACGAAAATTTTTAACAGTGTACACTAAGAAAAAAAAATATTTTTTCCAAATATTCATTTATTTGAGAGAAGCATTCATTTTTTCAAAATCGTATTTCTCCAATCGAGTCATTCGCAGGCGAGCCTAATTATGTTTCAATTATGACAATCATGTTGCTCTAGAAGATGATATTGCACTTGACCTTGGATTAACTCCTCCAATGATTATTCATTTTTCCCAAATTTTTTATTTTCTACAAGGAAGAATTTCAATTAATTTTTTAATGTTGACAATTATTGAGAGAATCAGTCAAGATCATAACTAATATAATCATCTTCTAGAGCAATATAATTGTTATAATTGAAACCTAATAAGGATTGCCTGGGAATGCACCGGCTGGAGAAATACGGTATTGAAAAAATAAGTACTCTCACGTAAATGAATATTCGGCAAAAATATATTTTTTTCTCAGTGGAAGGGGATAATTTTGATGGAAAAAGCTGCATAAATAATCACTCTCGTTTGATTGATAAAACGATAATTTGCTTCGAATAAAATTCTTTAACGTCTAGACATGAGATATAAAAATGGGTCCAGTATCTGTTTGAATCAAATAACAACAGAGACAAATAAGAAGTGCTTTCATGAAATTCTCATTTTTTATAGGTTAATGTCGCAGAAACAACGTACTACAAATTTTACAAAAAATTCACCGTATTCGGATTTTATCAATCTGTCACGGATAAATTTTTTAAAAACATTTTTCTCATAAGATGGAAAAACGAGTTCGGCGGGACCCATAACGCCCGTTTGACCTATGCCTCGCGTGTTAGAAGCCCGCATTTTATTATTTATTATCTCCCAAAGTGTGTAGTCCAGCTAGATTTTTTTTCAATAGCTGGGGACTATTTTAAAGATCCATGAAAAACATGGGGACAAAAAAAATCGTGTTTTCTAGGGAACCTTATAAACCTTAAACATTCTCACGGTTTTTAGAAACGAAGACAGTCATGCTGCTGTCATTGATAGTCTCCGATATAGTCAAACAGTTTCTAGACGAAAACACCCTGGTGTCTGGCAGAAAAAAAATCAGTCAAAAATCTCCAATAAAAAAATTTTCATTGAAATAGAGTTTTGTTGTTTTGAGGTTGTAAATATAACGATTGAATTCAAATGTGGGAATGTGAGTACATGAATTGGTGTCTCAAGTATAAGAAGCTTTCTGGAAATGTTCGTATCTTGAAAAATAAGGATTGAAACGTTCATATCCCAAAAACTAATTGAGAGAGAATTTTTTCTCCATTTTCCCGTATTCTTGAGGAAAATCAGTGTAGAAAACATATGTCAAATAGCGGCGCCACAGGAATCGTAATCGTCCCAGTCGTTATTCTAATGTTAATAAGCTAAAAGATATAGATCATAAGAAATTAATTTTATTTCCAGGAATACCGGTGAAAGGAGCTAGTAAATCTAAAAATGTTGCTCTTCTGGTGACAGTACGAGGTGGCCACATTGGATGGCTCGAGGGATTCTGGCCACTTGGCGAAGAAAGTTACATAGGAAAACTTTTTTCCCAATACTTCGACAGTGTTTTTAAAAAAATGGACGAGAATATTTTTTTATGATCTCTCCCCTTTTGAAAAATATTCTACGAGAACTTCATCCGACTTCACTCAGGATTTAACATTATTAGACAATGCCTAGCTCGTAAAGCTGAATGAAAATTGATATCAACGAGAAAATTAAATCTGACAATTTAGAGGTTTTAATTTTTATTACAATCATTCTAATTCAATTCGCCACAGGTACTAATGACAATTTTTTGAGACGGTGTCCCAGCTTTGCTACCGAACTTCTCTATTTTTTTCACAACGTCCAGTCCACTGAGAACGTGTCCAAAGACCACATGTTTATTGTCTAACCAGTCAGTTCTCGCTGTGCACAAGAAAAATTGTGAGCCATTGGTGTTTGGTCCAGAATTGGCCATAGAGAGGATCCCAGGCCCTGTGTGTTTCAATTCAAAATTCTCGTCTTCGAATTTATGTCCATAGATTGATTTACCTCCAGTGCCATTATGATTCGTGAAATCTCCACCTTGACACATCTGATTTTATTGTTAAGGATTCCGGTCTGTTGAAATTACTCTTGAAACCTTGTTAAATATTTAAAACTTCTAGAAGAAATTGATTGAGAGAATTGTTCCATTTCAGATTTTTTTTACTTTTACTTTATCTGAAGAATTGGCAAAGCTAAAGGGAAACATCAAAAGATTTTTTATATATTCCAAGGCATTTGGAATTAAGAATTCTCTTCATACCTTCCGTAGCTTGTACATTCAACAGGATGTAAAAGAATTAACTATGTAATTAATGATAAATAAAATTGGGATTCCTAGTTTTATTTGAAATGAAAAAAAAACTGACGATAGTAATTCAATAGGGGATACGAAAATTATGCTAGAAAATTTTGTTAAATTAATTATGTAATGTCAATGCGTAAAATGAACAAATTCTTCTAGAAAAATGAACTTTAATAACGCCCATACCACCAAATTAGTTCCATCAGACTGAACTTCTTTAATTAATTTTAGTCATTAGAGAGAGATATTCACACAAGCGGCTAACAAGGGACCAGATATGAGAAAGTTTTTCTTTCGTTTTCTTTAAGGGCATTTCATCTAAATGAACGAAGATGTATTTTATCAACAAACCTAGATTATTTATCCGGCATTCAATGCCATTCAAGTAATTTTGTGTAAGTGTTCTTTTTATGGAAATATCTGTTTTGCTAGGTCTGGTCATGGAGGTAAAAAATGGGCTGTGCAAATGAATGAAAAATTAAATAGATTGGTCGTTTCAGTTCAAAGGGAGACTACCATGAATTTTGGACATTATATATTGTTGGACTGCGGATCTTCATATGTTTCCTCTATTTTCCATGAGTACTCACTAGTGTACTCAATTTTCAAGATGAACTACATTTTTTGGAAAAACAACAATTACCAGACTTTTCTTCGATATTTGACTCCCAAACAAAATAATGTCTTTTTTGTATGGAAAAATCGACTGAACATGCGAAACAATGCGATTGATTTGTTACAGGTTATTAAAGTAGTATAAATGTAACTCAAATTTTAAAGATTAAAATGTGGAAAAAATCTTGAAAAAAATTGGAAAAAAAATTCTATGCCCACAATCCAAATTATGGTCAGTGTCAATCTTTTGCAAAAAATTATTTTTCTATCTGAGTGCCTCGAAACGGCCGACTATATGATCGTGAAGAGATCAATATTTTCGAACGTACAAAATTGCCACTGAAAAGCAATCCACTGCAGTAGAAAAGCATTTCACTGGAGAAAAAAATAGCCAAAGTACTTGGATATCCTTAATAATCCGTAATGTTTCAAACTCATGGTAATCTCCCCTTAATAAAAAAATGATAATTTAACAAGGATACAAAGTCTGGAATGACTCGATGAAACGTACTCCCCTGATATCCATATCCCTTCTCGTGAGTACATAAACACCGAAAATTCTCAGCAGTTCGGGGGACAATGTCCGCTCTCAGCATCATGATAATCCTCCCTAGCTCATGTTTACCGACGGTTATATCGAAATAAACCTGGGGATTACGTTTTTCTTTTATCGTCGCTGGAATCTCGGATTTTCCCGTTTCATCTTTGCTGAGGGTTTCACCGGCGTGCTCCTGCAGCCACATGTCATCTGCCCACACTGGCTTCGATGAGCCCTCCTTTATCCTCTGTGGCTTGGCTATGTTTACTCGTATTGTTCTTCCAAATAATTCGGAATCATTCTGAAAGATGAAAAAAAAAGATCATAAAACCCCTTGGCTACACAAGATCTATGAGGAGATCAGAATATTTCACTCATCTTCGAAAAAGATTGCTTTAGGAATTTTGTTCCTTATCCATATGTCTTAAGAATAAGCTATATGAATGGAAACATTAAGGATTTTTCTTTTACTAGCGCCACTCTCGCTGCTGGCAATGATGTCTTGTTGATGTCCTTTTTCCTGTCCATTAATTATGTACAATCATTCTTTTTTCTGTCAGATTTGATATTCCTTTTTTCAATTAATTGTTTATAATCATTCTTAAAATTGTTGCAAAAAAAAACGACCGACGAGAATCATAGATCCCAATTTATCAGCTGTTAAATGTTCATATTACAATAAATGATTTGCTTATATATTCTCATTCCTATGCTCACTGAATAAGCATTTAATCATAATTACAATTCAATTTCTTCTAGAATCACTTTAGAGTATGATTTTCTGGAATTCAATGTTGATACTTTGGTAAAAGTGCGTGCACTGTTATCAATTTTTTGTTAGTTCACATGATAATTCAATTAATCTGTTGTTCATCTCATCAATATAATTCCGTGCTTAAAATATTGTCATTTCGTATTTTCAGCACCTAATTACACGTATGAAAAAATTCAATAGAAAATCTAGCGAAGTCGCTAGAAAATTCTATTGGAATTCTGTAGGAATGCTACGGGGTTTCTATAGAATTTGTATTGGAATTCTATTGAAAAATTCTATTTGTCTTTTGCGCTGATTTTATTGGATATTCGATAAGAAAAAGTCAATAGATTTCGAATTTCTGTTTAAATTTTTCTCTTGAGATTTTTTCTGTAAGAATGCTTGAGCATCAATTTTTTAAGTTTTTTCCACTCGAATTCTGTAATGCAAAACAAAACAAAATCCAGCGAAAAAAAATTGTACCCAATTATTCTAATTAAAACAATCTCAAGAGAAAAATTTGAATTCTCAAGAAAAAAAAATCAAGATCTCAAGAGAAAAACATAAATTCAAAATATATTGACGTTCCTATCAAATATGCATTCACATCAGCGCAAAAAACAAGTCGAATTTTTCAATAGAATTCCAATAGAAATCCTGCAGAAACCCCATAGAATTCCTACAGAATTCCAATAGAATTTTCTAGCGAACTTGCTACGTTTTCTATTGAATTTTGTCATACGTGTTTGTACTCAATCAAATTTAAGTTTCCAATTTTTTGTGTTAGGGTAACTAATTATGGTCTAAAAAGTCCGAATATGTGATTTTTGTCCGTATGTATGTATGCGTGTATATATGTGGTCTTTTTTCTTCATTTTTTCCGAAATTTTCTTAAAAAGGATCAGTAAAATTTAATTACTTTTCATCATCAATTAAAATTCAATTTTTCATACACATTCAAAAAAATTGATATTTTTACAAAAATCAATTTTTCAACGATCACTCAAAATTTTTTTTACCAAAATCGAACTAGTCATGGCACAAAAAGTTGATAACAGTACCATCATGATTCCATCAGAATATGATGGGGGTCGCACAATTTGTTGTTGAGCTACAGCACATCGTTTATGCGATTTGAAAGAGAAAATCGAGTTTTTCATCATTACTGAAACAAGCATCAGTGACAGCAATTGAATCAAGGCTTGAAAAATATATTTCAATGCCTTCTTAATCAGATTGAAAAATGGTGAGAACAGCATCATTGCTTATCAAATTACACAATACCGTCATGAGCTTTTTGTATCAAAATCTCTATCTGTTTTAAACTCAGGTACCAGTGTATTATGTTGAATACTTTTCGTCATTGAGGCCCGATAAATGGCAATTACGGGTCTATTTTCGGGCCGATAGATGGCGATTATCTGTACTGTCCCGTTACATGAGGACTTAGTCCCGGTAAATTCACTTACCAGGCCTAGTCCCGATAAAGCCGCTGCGTGAAGTGAGCCGATTTGGTTATCGCTCATGAACTGAGTTGGGCAAGTAAAATACTACGGGTATTTTACCAAGTTTTCTACATGTAAAAAAACAAGTAATTTACCAAGGAGGTTTTAGATCTTTTTGACCACGTGTGTGCGTGATTGAGAACAACACAGGTGTTCTGGCTTGTGAGAAACGCCATTGACAGGGTTGCAAGGATCATGCCTCACAAGGGTCAGACATCGCAATGGTCATACCTCGCGAGGATCAAACATCGCAAGGGTTATAACTCGCAAGAGTCAAACATTGCAACGGTTAAACAACAGAGGTAGGCAGAGGACAATCTCATAAGTCAAATGACAACAAGCAACAACTGGAAAAACACCCAGGCAGTCAAAATCCGCTCTACTGACGTTCTACCGTCGACAGGGACCGATGGGTTGCTGTCGTGCCACCGTCGACAGCAACAGCATCGAAAGGTCGGCAGTACATCGTCAGTAGTAAGAGGATTAATTATAAGGGTCGGGAGTTTATGGGGCGCAGTAAAACCTGTGAAGGATAGTACCTCTATTCTACATGCAAAAGGCGTATGCGGGGGTCCAGGTAGAACCCTTTGCCAATGATACACTTTTTTATTTTTCCTCATAATCACCCCATCAACAGTGTTGGCTGACTGGGCAGTAAAGACAATCACAACGGCCCAACGATTATGAGGGTCAAGCAAACGGAAAGGGAGGAAAATCTTCAAGGGTCTAACGGGAGACATGATCCTCGTGATGTATAACCCTTGCGACCTCTGAACCTTGCAACGTTGGGCCTTTGTGGGGTATGACTATTGCGACATTTGACTCTTACGAAGCAGGATCCTTGCGAGATATAGCCTGTGCCATATTTGATCCTCGCGAAGCATGATCATTGGGAGATATGGCCCTCATGACGTTTGACGCTTGTTGGGTATGACCTTCATAACGTTTGATCCTTGCAAGGTATGGCCCTCGTGACGTTTGACCGTCGCTTCTACTATGTACCGTAGAAAACTCCGATTTTCAGTGAACGACCCAACCCTGCTCATGAGGCTGCATGTATCCAAGGAGCACGATTTCGATATCGAAATTGTGCTCCTTGGGTACAGTGCAGTAAGACGTACAGCACCACTGCCGGTCTAGACAGTAATATACCCTACCACTATCGCAATAGTAGATTATGTCATTAGGCGATAAAAGTATTATCTGGCGAATGGGGCTTTATAATCCGAGCCGAAGGCGAGGATTATAATCACATTCATCAGATAATACTTTTATGTCATGGGGCCCGAAAACCGCGACATGAACTATCTTGTTGATATCAGTCGTTCTGCGTTGGAAAATTTTGTTTAACAGAAATTGAGTGTTAATTCGACGGAAATGCAAGATTATGTGCCAGACAGTGATGAGAGTGATACGGATATATTTTTTTCAGCTGTTTGATTTTTTTCATGGATTACTTCAATTCATTTTTTTTCTCATCTCTTAATTTTTTTCTATTGTTTTTGTTTATTTTTTCAGGGGGGG